CTTCCTGCTTCACCAATACACTTCTGCTAACAGTTGCTGCATTTGTGCAATCCAGTATGTCAAGCTTATTATATTGCGTCAGCAGGCTGGTGAAATGTTGTTTTTTTTTATTTGCCAAAAATAGCTCTATACAACGAAAGGAAACCGTGACGTTACAAAAGTCAACATACCTTCCATATTAATATAGTTTTGGGAAAATTAAACTACCAGTCAGACATTGCTTTAAGCGAAATAGGGCAAATACAGCCAGTGAAAAACGGAAAATGTAAAGAATCAAGGGGTGACTATAATCCCCAAATCAACGTTGGTAAATAGAAAGATAAGGAGGTATGTAGTTGCTATGGCACCTGAAGAGCTATTTACGGGTAAGAGGAGATGATGCGTGCAATCAACATGTTGGGAGAGAGTTAGAGCGAAAGGGAAGAAAAATCATCACGTGTTTCGAGTTGCGTTTTGGATGTTTATGTCAATTGGGAGAAGTCTAAACTGTAATGTATTTTGGATGGGAATTCCTTTTGGTAAGGGAAAGAACAAGTTTTAATTCACAATCCGTATTTCGAAGCTTAGTTTCCAGGCCTCGATACCTGGAAGGAAACAACACAATCAAGCCCACGAATCTAGATTTCCACATAGTTAATATGAATAGTTGATAATATTGGTAAAGAGCTTATAAAACTAAATTTCTATAAAAATGTTAACTAAACAGAATTATATAAGAAGACCAAGATAGCGCGGACCTCGATATGGTCGCAGTCTCCTTTCGATTTATATAAATGGATTGACTTCGTTTTAGCAACTTGGTCTTGTTGTCAAGGTGACTTAGTAGAACTCACCTTGTCCGAAGTCCTCTGCCATAGTAGTTATCATAATCCTAAGCATCAAACCGTAGACTTGGTACATTCTTAGACGTTACGCCGGCATCGTAGTCGTAGCTTATCGAATTTCAAATAATGCGATGAAAAGGTATTCGATACTGGTCGATTTTAAGTGAAATTCTGTGAAATCCAACGCGTCTCGAGGTCAGCCGTCTATTCGAGTTATTATAATCTCCCCATCTGCTCCGACAAGAGTACTAGACTGCATTTCCAAACTCTTTATCGGATTTCGAGAAACAAGCATGCCATCCTTTCTCTCATTCCCGGATACGCCTAGCTTAAACTTCCCTTTCTTAATTATTCTTACTCCTTTAACCTACACAGTTAGAAAGAGCATATATCCTGTTTACCCATTTGGCTATTAGTGGCCCAAAAATCACGGGACTGCAAGGTGGCGCGAGGTCTTAATGTCAAATGGAGTATGTCGTGAGTTACATTTACCACAAAAGACAACTAGAGCTATGGATACTGTGGCTAATGTCAAAAGAACTACTGATATAAACATATGAATGCTAGTATATTAAGTTGCTATGGACAACGTAACCTCGGGGGAAGAGAGGATATTTAATTTCAGAAAAAGAATATTGAAGCATAAGGGACTGAGAGCTATAGACAGATGAGATGGCCCGATGATTAAAATAAAGAGGAAAGAAAGGATTCACTTTGGTTATTGGACTGATATCTTTATATATTAATTAATAAATGGAGAGACATATATGATGGGAGTAGAGTGAGGGTATATAAGTGCGCAGACACAGAGTCATAGTCCCCAAAGGTCAGACATTAAGAGGATTTCTGTATGGGAGTCGGTGTGGCGTGATATACGAGTACAAACAATAATAGAACTTGAGGAATTGGAGCGAGGACTTGATGTAGACGCCAAAATGGCGTTATGTATAACAATGCGATTTACTCACGGACCTAAGGGTTGGTGAGGCTTGAGCTTTATCAGCCAGATTAGAGAAGGAATGAAGCTGAAATTTCTTAAGTGTCTAGATTTCACCGTTTGACCAGATTATCTAATATGCACTAACCTGGAAATATATCGAAGCAAGTATGACAGAGCAATATGATTACTGTATCCTCAAAATTATGAATATATATATATATAAGGAAAGGATTCGCAAATTAAACCCATAAGGAAGCGAGGAAGGATTTCCCCGGAGTTGTGAGTGAATATCTTCTTGAATAGGCCCTCTGCGGACCATGCCATGACAGCGAAAAGTCCGGATTGCACTTCATCAAACAGTAGCCAAACTTTTGCAAAAATTTACCAATCCATAAGACAAGAAAGGTGGTCGGTTGAAATCCTATCAACTTCTTATTACCTAGCATTGCCAACTTAATGAGGCATTACAACCGCTCTAGCAGCTCATTATGATCATATAAGTCCTCGGGACAGCGTCCTCCATTTCTAATTAAGCTTAAATTGAGCTTTCGCCCAGTCTATTATAAGCATCTTGAGAACAAGATACCATTCGGGGAACTACTTGACAAAGGCACTTAGGAATAAATACTGATCGACAAGAGACATCAATGAAGAGCAGCTTAATATTTGCTAAAATTGAATTAAATGCATCTAGAACGATATAAAACAAGTAATACATACATAGTAATAAAGAGATGTTTACTCACTCAGCCTATCTAATCTCATCTTAGTTTTTTCTGTTACTCGTCGTCGCGGCATGTCAACAAAGAATGGAGACATATCTAACGTGTACGAAGTAGAGTTCGCTGCAAATGTCGAAGCACTAATAGATGCCTCTTCAGTATTACCGGCTGCCAGTAGGGAAGACGGATTAAGCGAGACTTCATCTCCAGTGACAAGGGTCAGAGTTGTAGCGGGAGGGCAGTCATAATCATCGCCTGCCGTTAGAACATTGCTACGAGAAGTGACAATCTTCGGATTAGAGGCCAAATGACCGTAATTGTCTTGCTCAGAACTGAGGTCAATCAGGCCTGAAGCTGGAGCTGAAACAGCTGAGGAAGCGTGTTGGTTGAGGGCAGTCTGGGAGATCGGGCATGGCAATGAAGACGTCTCTGCCATTGGATTAGCAATGACTGGGATAATCGAAGATGAAGATGAAGCAGAAACGAATTTACCATTCAGGGCATCATTTGTAGTTGAAGAGTAGTCAACTGAAATGCTGGGCACAGTGGCACTGGATGCTGCTGCTGTTAATGGCTCTGAATGGCGCAGGTGGTCTTCCAACGCTACCACGCTCTGACTGTATACGGTAGAGCAAGCCAGCGGGTTGTCGTCAAGAGAAGAGTAAATTCTAAAAAGGATGATAACAGATGAGCAAGACTTGTGACTATTAAGAGAAGGAAAATAAAAACGAAGCCAAGAATAGACAGGAAAATCACATTCTCACATCCATCTCTGAAGCACTCCGCAGCAACAACTTAAACGGAATCTTTGGGCCAAATGACGAATGAGAATATAGAAGAATGAGATATGAGATAAGAAAGCTGTATGGAGCTGTATGGTATATAAGGTTAGGTATGTGTAGTGTAGGAAGTTTGGAGCATATAAGGGATTCTTGAGAGGATACCGCGAAGGGACGCAACAACAAAAAGATGCCAGGAGTTGGGGATGTTAATGAGACCTAGGTGAAGCCGAAACTGCAGTTCACTCCGTATGAGTATACCTCTGAGTGAAATTAAATTTTATTATGATGAAGATTTATCTATCAGGTATTCAGCACCTTAAGCAAACTATGGAGTCTAAAGCTCTTATTTAATCTATAATATGCATGAAGTATTTGATAGTCTGATTTGGTGATATTCACTTAGTATGAAAGTGCTTAATGAATAGG